TGTGAGACCTCGGCTCACCACAGAAGCCTGCTGCGCTGCCCTCCCGCCCACCCCGCAGGTACTTAAGAAGCACAGGCTGAGCTGCAGTCTGCGCCCCAAGGACCCCAAGTCAGGCGATGACTGGAGGAGGTGGACGAGGGCAGGCTGCTTTATGTTGAAGGCACGCTTTTGTGCAGCTGAGCTCGCGGACAAAGAGAACCACAGCCGGGTCTTTTTCTGATGGCCAAGGGCTTGGCTTCCCGGTGTTCAACCTCAGATTTGTATTAAGGAGCAGAAGGGGAGGGGAAGAAACCTCAATTCAAACTCTGTCTTTGAGGAGGATCAATTCTGAAAGTAGTTTTAGTGATTTTCTTTATAAAGAAATTGTATTGTGGGGTCCCCCCTGGTAGCACAGCAGGTTCAAGCGCAGCATGACGAAGCTGGTCACAGCCGCTTCAGCACCTGTTGGTCCCCGGCCAGGGAGGGACCCACAGGGCCCAGCAGACCCCTCCTGTCTTCCCACTGCTCCCTCAGCAGTGGATTCAATAGAGCTGCCTGCTGTGCTCCCCACTCTGTATCTGGGGGATCCCCTCACCCCTGTATCTCTGACCTGTACCCCAGTTCTGTATGCATAAATAAATAAATCTTTAAAAAAGAAAAGAAAAGAAATTGTATTGTGTCTCTATGCAAAAATGTTGCTGTTGTGGAATGTACTGGAAGGTGGCGGGCTGGAGGACCAGCTTGTGATAAGCCATTCACACCCGAGCCGGCTCCACTTTTTTTTCCAGTTGGGTGGCCTGTTATTTCAGGGGACAGATGACCCGGGTTAGGCCTGCAGGGTGTGAGATCTGGCACAGAACCCCCCGGGTGAAAAATTAACTCTTGTGGAAATAAAAAAAGACCCGTGTCCTAAAACTTCTAACAAGTTAGTCAAGTCAGGTATCTCCCTCTTGGAAAAGCCTTGGCGCATCTTTGTACTGGAGCTGAGTGTGTGTGTGAGTGTGTGTAGGTGTGTGAGTAGGTGTGTGTGTGAGTAGGTGAGTGTTAGTGTGAGTAGGTGTGTGTTAGTGTGTAGGTGTGTGTTTGTGAGTAGGTGTGAGTGTGTGTGCGAGTATGTTAGTGTGTGTAGGTGTGTGTGTGCGTAGGTGTGTGTTTGTGTATAGGTGTGTGAGTGTGAATGTGTGAGTAGGTGTGTGTGTGTAGTTGTGTGTGTGTGAGTAGGTGAATGTGTGAGCAGGTGTGTTAGTGTGTGTGTAGGTGTGTGAGTGTGAATGTGAGAATAGGTTTTGTGTGTGTGTGTGAGTAGGTGTGTGTGTGTTAGGTGTGTGTGTGTGTCTGTGTGCCACTCACGTTTGCACAGTGCCCGAGTGCGCAAAGTGCAGCAAAGATACAAGTTGAGACCTTGAGAGCCCAGAATCCCGTCCATTTCTCCCTGAAACGTGTGATGCTGGTGAAATGTGAAGAAAATGATTAAGTCTTGGTTCTGTTCTACCAGAACCATTTGGATTTCTTGTTAAAAAATAATACTCGTGAGAAAAAGTATCAGTTCACCCAGGAGTGATCATGTTTCCCAGCTGGGGTGGGGGTGGGGTGCCCAAGAGCGGAGCCCCAGCTGTCTGCTGGGGGGACCCCGCCAGTGGGGGACACATTGCTCTAGAGCTGACGTGGATCTCCCTCTTTTGAGGCTGGCAGTTCGCACTCGGGCCCCTGCTCCGGCCGCTGTGCTCTGTAAAGACCTAGGCCAGCTGCGTCTCCTCTGTGTCCAGGCCTGGCACTCGCCGTCTGCATGGCCGCAACGCTCCCCTCTTCCTCTTGCAGGACCCACAGCTCCAAAGCCACCTTCTCCATGGAGGCCGCCCGAGCCCCGTCACCGCACAGCAGGGATGGACCAGACTATTAAAGGGTCTTTAAAAAGTTCCTTCCAGGCTCTTCTAAAAGGTGGGGGGCAGTTGTAACTCTTGCTGTCCGGTTACCTTCCTAGGCTGAGCCCGGGCAGATCCGGGCAGGAGGTGGACCCCCTCCTCCGAGCAGAGAGGTCTTCCTGCCCGCCCCACCCCTTCAAGGATGCCCGGGAGGAAGAGGTGAAAGCCAAGCTCTCCCTTCCCCCAGATACCTCCTTGCCCACCCACTTGAGCCATCCATCCCCTCGGGCTTAAGACCTTTGTCCAGGGGAGGCCAACAGACGCCAGAGTTCAAGCCTGTGTCCGGTGTGGGTCAGCCGACTCACAAGTCCTAGAACAGGAGACTGAGGGGACAGTGGATTTCCCATGAGCTTCAGGTGGTCCCGCCTCTGACGTCACGCCCGCCTTTGCTCCCAGACCCGGCCATGCCGCCCCTCCGTCGGTCTCGGTTGCTATCAGGCTCCGGTCTTCGGCGTATTCCAGACACCTCCAACTGACACATCTAGGTGACCAGCCAGGGCTGGGTCACTGCTGAGTAAAAGGAGCAGGTGGGCCGCCCTTGAACGTGGCAGTGGGTGTGGGGGTGTGGAAACTTGTTCTCGAGTTGTTATTCTTAAGCCCAATGGCCTGCCCACTCCGGTAACCCAGCTACACAAGCTTGTCAGCGGTAGCAGAAAAGCATCCCGGGTGCCTATTTTCTAGATGAGCCGCAGAAATAAAAAAATAATGATAACAATAAGAGAAGTTCTGCCTACAAGGCTCCGTCTGCCCTTGTTCCCAGTGAGTCACAGCAGAAGCAGAACAGCCACCAAGCCAAGGTTTACCCTGGCAGAACGCTCAACGGGAACGTCGGTGTTTCTGGAAGTGGGCAAAGTGATGACAGGCCACTGCTTACCGGCTGCGGCCCTCCCTGGCGGCGCAGGGGTTAATGCACCCACTATGGAGCTGCCCCCCAGTGATCCCTGGCCAGGGAGGGACCCCCAGGGCGCAGCAGACCTCGCCTGTCTCCCCACTGCTCCCCTCAGCAGTGCATTTAAGTCCATCTGCCTGTTCTGCTCCCCACTCTGTCTCTGGTGAACCCTCTCACCCCCCGCACCTCTGGCCTGTACCCCAGTTCTTGTGTGCATAAATAATCAATCTTAAAAAAAAAAACAAAACCCAAGTCTGGGGCAGGTCAGTGCCGCCCTTGCATCACCCAGAGCCCCAGCTCACTGCCCCCTGAAATTCCCGCCCGCCAGCCCCCGTTCCATGCTGCATACCATCTATGAGAGATAAATGAGCCCAGGCAAAAACAAAGAGGTGCAGTTACGAGGTACAGAGAAAGTTGCCACACAAAGACGCGGGCAGTGAAGCGCCACACTGTGTTGTTCCAAGAAAAGTCGGTCGAGGCCAGTGCTGGACACCACACTGGAGCGGCGGCCGCCTCCTCCCCTCTCCCCCCTGCCCTCCTATTTCTCTCTCTCCTCTTGCCTCTTCCCCTCCTCTTCCTCCCCCTCCCCTCCTTTATCTCTCCCTTCCTCCTCCTCCATAAAACACAAGAGGAGGGAGACTGTGCCCTTCAACCCTGGTCCTCTCAGACCAAGGGCTCCAGCCTCACCACTTGGCTGCCCCCAAGGCCACGTGGTAGGCCAGGGGCGGCTGCCCGAGGCGGGGCCAGCCAGGCAGCAGGGTCACCACCTTCCTTTTTGTTCTCCCCCAGCCTCCAGCACATCTCTCTTCCTAACTCAATGCTGAGTTGAGGCTAAGATTAGATTTTGGAACGACAATTGCGTTAACAGTTAAACCAACATGCTTCTTCACTCTTGGATGAAAGGACGCGGCCAGAGAGCCAGTCAGAGTCATGGAAGGAGGTATTTCAGGAAGGGGACAACCCCTCCCGCCTCTGGGCCTGTGGCGCACCCGGGTGGAATTGCAGCCTCCCTGGGAGAGACCCTTCTTCAGCCTAGACGCCTCGTCATCCTGCCTGTGAACCATATACCTGGGTGTGCATGTCTCCCCGAGACTTTGGGGCGCTGCTACGGCCCTCTCCCCTTGGGAGGGGTTTCTCAGATCTAGGGCCAGGAGTGCCATTCTCTCTGCCATGAAATTATTTCTAGAAATTCTAGATCCCTCGGAATCACTTCCCTAAGTTAAAAAAAAAAAAAAATCAGCACTTACTCAAAGACCTGAGAGCATCTCATTTTATGATAATGTGAAGTCAGGTTTAAAGCGCTTCCTTGCACATCTTGGCTTGTTTCTAGGAAGGAGGAGGAGAGGAGCGGAGGGGAGGAGGCTCATCTCTCACCAGGCCATGCGCCTCTCCGTCCTGAGCTGAACTGGGCCCTGACCTTCCCTTTCCAAACGCTGTGGGATTTTACCGCCTGCATTTTTGTATAACAACTTTCTTTATAGCTCATCTTCTAATTGTGCCTCTTTTTATTTTTGCATTGATTTTCCCATCATAAATCTCGGGGAACACATTTTTCTAAGCCACAGTAAGTACTTTCGGGAACACTGTGGCATGAATTACATGGGCAGTTAGAATAACAGCTGTACTTCAGCATGCATCTGCTGACATCAGTCTGACTGTCAGACTCGTCTGAGGAGCCAGGAGAGAGGAAAGCTTGTCTCCAATAAGCACAATCTGTGGATGAGACGTACGAGGGTTTCCCCATCAATCCCAGGACAATGGCATCTTACAAACGTCCCTGAGTATATATTCTCCCTACCCTGGAAACCATGATCCGGGAGAGGAAATTTGTTAGATTTTATTGCTTGTACATCTACAGTTTCAGGGAAAATGTCACTGGCGGTGTGTGTCGCCTGTGACAGGGCTGGGGGAGCTGTCCAGAGCCTTGGCTTTTCAGTGAGATGCTTAATGTGTGTGCAGTGGGTGAGGAAGGGAGCCCGGGCACCCCTGGGCAGGCCAGGCTCCTGCCGGGGCACCCACTCCCCTGCACACCGTGTCTGGTTGGGTGCAGGTGCACGCTGGAGAAGTGTCCTCTCTCAGGACATGTGGTGATTTACTCGGTGCCAGCTTAGCAGCTGCTCCTCAGGGACCCCTTTGAGGAGCTGTTGAATTCCACTTCCATTTTCTTTCCTTAGAAAACCATGTGTGGCATTGATACAAAAAAAAAAAAAAAAGAAAAGAAAAGAAAAAAAAAAACAGTTTCATGGCTTTTCACAAAGGTGTAATTTGGCTTCATTCTTCCTCATTTCTGTTCACGCCAGGTAGAATAAAATGGTTGCCCCACAAGAATTAGAGCCCATTTTTTGCCTTCCATTTGCCTTTGATCTCTACCCTCCCGTCCCCCATGGCTCCCTAAAAAAAAAGTGCGAGGGAAAAGATGCAGTCTTAGAACAAAGCGTGCTGTCTTGCTGAATACAAAGGTAGATGACTACAGCCATGTAAGGTCTTTGGATTACATCTGAGAAGAGGAAACGCATGGCTGTATGCCCGGGGTCTCCAACGCTCGCCTTCTCCTTCTTCCTTGGTCCTAACTTACCTGAAAGTAATGAAGCGAATACCCCAGCGGCAGAGGCAGACTTTGTTAAGACTGGAAGTTTCTACAATTTAAGGAGCCCTCTATAAGGGAAAGAATACAAAAACATCTTACGCTTACAGTTTTTGACAAAAGCATACGGCCATGTGGACACCCTGACCGCAGGAGAGAGACCCCTGAAGCGTTAACTTTATTGGCCTCGCGGTGCGCCGTTTCTGTGTTGCCATACTGGATAGACGCCTATCCTACACACGGGTTGCCGCGGAGCACATGGACACAGGACACAGGCAGTGACCACACAGGTGCTAGCTAGGAATACACGACATCAACACACGAGCACAAGATCACTTACTGGGGGTCAAACACACAAACACGGGGGTCGAGTTTTCGGTTTTTGTTGCATTTCAGTGTTTCTGTGGGGTCATCCCGAGGCCTGATGTCCTCTTCTCCAGCCTCTGAACTGCCCGCCTGCATTAAAATATTCACTTTGAGGAGGGAGAGGTGGCCAATTTAATGTAGTGTCATTCACTCAGACAGACTCATGCTGAGCGATTCCCTATTCTAGAAGCCAGGTGCACTGGGGGGCGGGGGAGGGGACAAGTCCCCGGTTGGCAGGGCTGGCGTTTTATGGATTTATTTTCTCAGGCAGCTCAGATGCTGGTCTGGAGGTCTCCGTTGAGGAGGGTCCTCTGGGTCTCCGTGGTCTCGTTCAGCCGGGATTTGTCCTGTTTACTGTCACTCCGTTCCCCGTCATCTGTGCCACTCACCTTGACCAAACACAGGACGTTCTGGAAGCTCTTCTTGAAGTTGTCGGACAAGAAGGCATACAGGATAGGGTTGGCACAGCTGTTGGCATAGCTGAGAACCACCACAAAGTCGAAAATGCCTTTCAGGGCTGGAGTGGGGTTGATGGCCACCGACACCGACGAGACGTTGAATATGTAGAAGGGAAGCCAGCAGAAGATGAAGACTGCCACCACTATGGACACCATCCGGGTGACCTTCTTCTCTGACTTTTTCCTCTTGGAGGAACCCACTCGGATTCCGGAGGACTTCACCTTGATGATGATGAACAGGTAGCAGAGACAAATGATGGTGAGGGGCACCAGAAACCCCAAGATGAAGGTGTAGATAATAAAGCCAGTGTACCATGCCCCGGATTCACCGGGCCAATTGATGGTGCAGCTGCTTCTCCCCCACTGGTTGCTCCGAAGCCCAGCGTAGATCATGATGGGCAAGATGACCAGCAGGGAGACCCCCCACACGGCCATGTTGACCATCTTGGCTGTCCGGGGCCGTCTCCACTTGGCTGACTTGATGGGGTGCACCACAGCCAGGTAGCGGTCAATGCTCATGACCGTCAAGCAGAAGATGCTGGTGAATTGGTTGATGCCATCCACGGTCATGACCACGCGGCAGATGGCCTTGCCAAAGGGCCAGTGGACCAGAGCCACCTGCATGGCCAGGAAGGGCAGACCCAGCATGAAGAGCTCGTCAGCGATGGCCAGGTTGAGGATGTAAATGTTGGTCATGGTCTTCATCTTGGCATAGCGGAGGATGACATAGATGACAAGCGTGTTGCCACACAAGCCAATGATGCAGACCACAAAGTAGATGAAGGTGAGGACCGCGTTGCTGGTCATGTCATAGTATGGCTCCGTTTGGTTTGAGCCATTGGCTATGGCCGCGGAACCATTGAAGTCGAATGGGCAGGAGAGCCACCCTTGGCTCCCGTTGAGCGGTTCACACGCCATATCCATGGTGGTCTTGTGGTCCGAGGCTAGTTCCGAGCAGCCCGAAGAGCTTAGTCTCACCTTAATGGGTCCTGAAAACAAGGGATCCACTGTGGCATCTAGAAGGAAGAAAGGAAGGTGGGCTCGTCAGTCAGGCTCACCAACTTTCCACTCCCCGTGGAGCATCTCGGACACGCTGCAGTGACAGCGTGCCATCTTGCCTCAGCTCCCAGCATGTTCTCGTCACTGCACACTTTGGGAGCTGTTTTTTTTTTTTGCAACAGCCGGAGGGGGAAGGTTGGGGTTAAGCTTTCATAGTTTATCTTGGTATCTGGGTGACACCTGTGCGGAAGACGGTGTTGGTTGCAACAAAAATACATTTCTATCCCTACGATCTCAGCGACTTCAAACTAACAAGGCAGAGCTTGGAGAAGTCCAGCCCCTGGGCTCATCCGGACCTGGCGCTGGCATTTTCAGCCTTCCCTGCAAGGAAATCCGCTTGCTGACTTCCTTGGAGTCTTTCTGTTTTGAAAACCTCATTGTAGAAAAACCCCAGACCTTAGAGGTAAAAGAAACCAGGTCTCATCACTTGGTCCGTGTGACCTGGTGTCTGGCACTTAGCCACTCTGACTCTCATTTGTTAAGATGGGGTGTCATGGGGTTCAGTAGTGAAAGGTATGTGAAACTGCCCGGTGCCTTGGAGCTCACCCTTGGAACTTGGCCAACGTTATCTTACCCTCCACCCACCTGTCCTCTGCCACCTCATTACTGAAGCCTGACTACCCTACAAGGTGAAGATGAGAAAACTGAGGCTCACACAGCAACTTACTTCCATCCCCTGTACATAAGTGGTGGGGCTGCGCTTTGAACGCAGGACTCCCAAATCTTCACCTTTCAACTATTCACCCAGTTGCGCTGTAAACTGGAGACTCAACGGGTGACAGTTGGTCTTTGCTTTGAAGCAGAGGACTCCTGTTGTATGCCCATGCTGGGAACATTCTAACATTGCCAACTGAGCCTAGGATATAACACAATAGCTCGTCGCGTAATTAAGTGATTTATCTGCAGTCACGCAAGACTGGAGACCTACTTTGTTCTGAGCCCAGGGATGCAGAAACGAATGAAATCTTGCTGGTGGAGCCCCTGAGGAGGCGCGACCATAGGAGGCGAGACAGGCGGGTCACTACATGCGTGTGGGTCGCAGGGAGCTAGGAAAAAGGACTTTAGCTGTCCTCCGCTCTGGGGACTCAGATGAGGCTCACCGAGCAATGTTCCAACTGCATCCTGGGTAGAGAGCAGCAAGGAGGGCCGGGAAGGTCCTTCTAGGGATGGAGAGCAGGTGAGGCATGGTGTGTTCAGTTCAGAGTGAGGCTAATTTACCTTGTGCACGTATTTCTCCCGAGCAGGGTATTTGCCTGGGCGCCTAGTGAGCACCAGAGACCTGTCCTTGCCTCGTGGAGATGCTGCTGTGAGTTACAGAGGACTTGGCAGAAACAAGTCTCCGGGGCCCCTCGCCCAAGTTGCCTGATGGCTCGTGCATCCACGAGAAGCCCTGAGTATCCTCTCTGTGCTCGTTACCCCCCCCCCCCAACTCTGTAAAGTCAAGTCCAGCTAACCTTTCTGCAGAGCACTGTGGGGAGCTGAGTTTTAATATCTGCGTTGGGTAAAAAGCACCAGTTGGAAGCTATTAAAAGCAGAAGCTGTAAAGAAAAAGAAATGCTTTGGGGTAGCCCTGAACCGACATCTCCCCGCTAGCATTTCTCATCTTGCCAGTTGTTGGAATTCTGCAGACCCAGAGTGTGCCTTCATCACTCACTCTGCGGGGGTCCCCCCTCTGTACCAGGCGGGGTCACGCCCAGTGTGGGGGAAGTGTGGGGGAAGACTGACGATGTCTGAGGAAGCGCTGGAGGCGCTTGAGGGAGCGGTGAGGGTGGTGCAGGCGAGTGGAAGAGGCCTCCAGCAGCCCTCAGATGTCCTTTCCTCTGGTCTCTTACTGGGCAGGACAGCACTGCAGGGGGTCAATGTTGTCTGAACCGTGCTGAGCAGAGACCTGCCCCCACTTTGGAGAGAGGCAGGAGTACAGCTCAAAGCCACTTGGTGAAGATGGAGAGGGGAGGCTGGGGGGGGGGGTCAGTCGGGAGTGGAAAGCCTCCGAGGGGAAATAAACGGGCTTAAATCAGGGGATCTTATTTTATCCACAAGGAACAGCTGCCCGAACCCTGAGTGCTTTCTGCTTCATTTGAACCCCATCGAAGGTGATGCCAGCGCCAGCCGGTCAATACATGTCCCTCTGGGGTGAGGAAACCACAAGGAAGTTTGGGGTTTTGTTTTCTTTGTCTTCTAGCCTAAGAATTGTTAGATACCAGAAACCAGCTGTTTGCTGCTTTCTGCTGAGACAGAGTCCGGATTCTGCTAGAGTAGAGGGTGCGCTTGGCCTCCCAGAGGGGGTATGCTCCCCTCGGAAGTGAGTGTTGGGGTGCCCCCCTTCAGCGGTGGCCCTAAGTCCTGCTCAGTTCCAGTCTCCCTCATCTCCCCAGCATCTTTCCCTCGAGCCGCCCCCACCCCCACTTCCCTCCAGCTTGTGACATCCAGTGGGTTTCAGGGTTTCAGGGCGTTGGAGCAGGAGCCCCAAGGGCCGGGAGAGAGAAAAACCAGGAGAGCCACAGAGCTCCAAGGAAAAGCCAGGTGCCGGGGACAGGCCAAAGGGTGTGGGGGTTCGAGGGGAGGGGAGAGAAGGGGAGGGGAGGGGAGATTCCCACTGCCAGGTGGCTCCCCTGGTACAGCACAGAAAATTCTCTGGCTCCCCACGGACTCTGACGCTCAGACCCAGGGCTTTTCTAAAGGATTCTGTTATTTTCTGGAGGGCTGGGAGAGGCTGGAGAGTATTGTGCTCGCACCCCCAGTGTGTAAACAGAGGGGACCCAGGCTGCAGCAGCTGGTGCGGAGGCTTGGACACTTGGCCGGAGGCTCCCCGGCACGGACCTCTCAGCATTTGGGTCTCTCCAAACCTAGACAAACTGTCCTTTCTGCCCGGGCACCTGGGAACAGACCCCAGGCCCCCTTCGGGATGCTTCTCCCAGGCCTGGCACAGAGGAACTGAGGAGCAAGCCCTTTGCTCAGCTCCGTTCCCTCTGCGGTACGTGCCCGCGGGAGCCGGGCCGGGGTCCTGACGCCCGTGGCCGCTGCGTGCTTCTCTCCTCCACGTCTTTTGCGGGCGGCTGGACGAGAACTTGTCCCAGTCGCAGCTACTACCTGGACACCAGACCCGGGCGAGGGCTGGACAAGGGCGCGCGCCTTTGCCACCTGCACGCACACGTCTCGTCTGCCTCGGCACACACGATCCTTGGCTCTCCACTCACGCTGGGCACACGCTGTCGTTCACTCTCACCTAAATCACCCCCAAAGGCAGTGGGGGGGGGGAAACGACCCCATGGGAGCTACCCTCGCAAACACCGAGGGGCGCGCCACTGCGCGGCGGACACCCCAGGTGCCCAGGTGCGCCTCTCGCTCCCCGCTCCTGTTTTTCTGTCTCTCACGCGCGTGCACACACACACACCCCTCACCTTTGCTTTGCCGTTGCAACCCTCTAGCTCAGCTCACCCGCACCCAGAGGCGGCTCGGCTGTTCTGCAGCCCAGTGCCAGCGCGCTGCAGCTGGCGGGGCGCCGGCGTCGGTGTCCGGAGCTGCGGGCTGCGGTGGACCCCTCGCTCCGCCGAGAGCTC